ATCATCATCATCCAAGCCAATACAATTCAACTATAACAAATTGTCGGCTGATACATCAGCAACAAGTAATAATAATAATACATATGATAAAGATTTCAAAATGGATATTGATTCTCAATCTACTTTGGCACATGTGTTTCCTTCACCCAAGTCATCAATGGCATCATCTTCACAATCTAGCACTACCATTCATTCAACAGCATCCACTACAAACAGTGACAGCAGTACTCATTATTACAATGATAGTGATGAAGAATTCAATTTATTGGATTACTACCAGTATTGTCTTGAGAATAAATTGGAAGATCAGGCTTTTACAACACCATCAAAGTCAACACTACAAAAGAATTGTGAGAGTTTTTTGCCAGATATATCCTTTGAACTGGAGAGGTCGTCTTTTTCCAATAGTGGCTCTCTCTATATTCCACCACCACCACCTATTCCCGAGAAAACTTCTAAATTTGCATTTGTAATTCCCAATTCATCATCATCATCAACAAAATCATTGATATTACCAACATCCTCATTGTCAGCACCATCATCATCTAATCCCCCACCATCTACAACATCACCAACAACAACCATTTCATCTACAAAACCACAATCATCCAATACCTTACCAAAACTATTAAAACTCAAACCATCAGCAACAACAAAATCATTGATATTACCAACATCTTCTTTATCAGCACCATCACCAATCTCTAATTTTTTATCAGCACCATCACCAACCTCTAATCCATCACCATCTACAACATCTACAACAACAATATCCACTACCGATAGTAGCCGTAGTAGAATTGAAACATACAATCATGTCGACAAGCGACCAAGAACGACGAATTATATTTTCCAGGGAGGTAGATTCGTCAAGGAAAGAGACGAATATAGCCTTCAGTCCAATAACAACTCCACGGCTTTAGAAATGGAAATGGATATAGATTATCCTTCAACAACAACAACAACAACAACGACAACAACAACAACAACAACTACTACAACAACTCCTAATAATAATAATATTAATAATAAATATATATTTGGAATCGATTGCGGAAGATCATCACATGTATCCATCGATGAACACGGTAAAACTCACTCATTCTCTGTCCATGAACATTATCTTAACTTAAGAAGTCGTTTCAACTCGGAAGCTCAAAAGAAAATGTTGGGTCCAGCCATGTTAAAGTTTGAAAGTCTAATTCCACCTAGTAAGAGTAAGTAAACTATCACCTTTTATTTTTAATATAGATTGATATTAATTTATTATATTATTTATTATTTTTTCTTTAGATATCAATGATATCTGTTTGGATAGATCACTGATTAGTAACAGGATTAGTTATCTTAGATTACACCCAACAACAACAAAAAACTATGTCAACATTAGATTAGATGAGTACAACCTAATAATGAAGAAGAAATACTACTACGATAAGCGTGAATCCTACAATTCAATGGTGGACAAACTGGTTCCAAGTCAAAATAGTATAGTCTTTATTGGTTCTGCCAAGTTCAGCCACAACAGTCGTGGGCAATCTTCTTTCATTTCTTCAGCCACTCTCTACAAGTGGGTGAAGAAAAGAAACATAAAGCATTGTGGATCAATGAATGCTACACCTCAAAAGTAAAGTACACTTAAATTGTCACAAATTATAATATATTTTTTAATATTTAAATAATAATC